GATGGCATTCATTTAATCTCTCTTTTCTGGATAACAATACCATCTTCCCCAACTTCCTTCATGGAACAAGAAATGCCCATAACCTAGAACATGAACTTTTTTCACTACAATCGTACAAACAATTAAACAAAATCCATTACTCCAAATTAATCAAACTACAATAAATCAGTGAAAATAAACCGTGGTTTTCACTACAATCCAAGAAATAATTAAACCAACTCCAACTCCTCTAAATTCACCAAACTACAATCCAAGAAAAAAAAATCTTTTTTCCCTACAATCCCACAAACAATTAAACCACAAACATTATAGAATTACTCCAAATTCATCAAACTGCAATAAATCAGCCAAGACAAACCATAGTTTTCCCTCAATCCCAGAAGTAATTCAATCAAACCAATTTCCTCTAAATTCACCTAACCACAAGAAATTAACTTCCTACACACACAATTAACTTGCTGCAAGAAACGTATAACTTGAAACCAACAACCTAAAAATTACAACATTAGAAAAGATGAGAAATTGGGAAGGAAAATTAGAAACCCAGTTATGAAACTAGTTAATTTACAAAAATTAAAGCTGAATTTAGAGATATCTAGCGAGAATCAAACACGTTTCAAACCTAAGATATGGAATAGCAAGTAAATAACTAAAGATTATCACAAGCAAAGAATCAAAACCTTGATTTGACGATGGAAACCTTGACTGAAACAACCCGTCGAGAAGCCTTCGATTCGAAAAGAAGAGCTCAAAACCTTGATTTGAAGATCCCGTAGAGAATCGTTCGATTTGGCAACATGATCTGATTTCAATTTCGGGTTGTGGGATTGTGAGAGAGGAACGTCCTTCGTCACGGTAGAGGGAGAGAGAGTTGAGAAATGCCGTTTCCGTGTTTTGCCACTTTCCCTTGTTTTGTTGTTAGTTTTTCCAAAATGATGTTTAAGCCGTTTTTCGTTTTCAGTGTTTTTTTTTTCATTTTTAAAAACGCATTTTCGAAAATAATAAAGAGAACGCGTTTTCACTATTTTGAAAAATTAAAAACAGAAAACGACAAAGAGAACAAGGCTTAACATTTTGCTCAAATTCCGAAATTCAGGCTCCACCGGAGCCCTCACATGGCTAGATTACTTCCAGACGCGTCTACACACTCCTCACCCACCGAGATGGAGCCCTCGCATGGCTAGATTACTTCCAGACACGTCTACACACTCCTCACCCACCGAGATGGAGCCCTCGCATGGCTAGATTACTTCCAGACACGTCTACACACTCCTCACACACCGATCACCGCCGTTTCATTCAAATTCTTTAGCCCAAATCTGAAAAATTCCCTTTCTTTTTCTCCATATTCGAATAATTTTCTATCAAAATTTTCATTTTTCCGGTTTCTTTAGTTTCTTTTTTTCTCGAAGAAAACTGTTTTCTTGATGTTATTATATTCGTATTCGACTGCAGTTATTTTACCATATTACCGTGTTTTTGATTAATTAACATAATGGGATGGTACAGAAGACCATTTCGATCCTCTTTTAATGCTTTTCGTAGCTTCACCTCAAATATTACTGCACGCAGAAACCCCATTCAAGAATCGAGTTTAAGAAGTGGTTGCTACACTGATTCTTTGAAGCCCAGCTATACTAAATCCAGAATTTCTGAATTTTCTCAACCAATTTTTAGGAATTCTGCTTTACAAAATGGTTTTAAATCANACTAGAAGATACATGGCAAGAATTGTCGTTAGAGATGCTACATCTGTACAATAAAGAAAGGTGAAGAACCAGTGCAGTGTATATAATGACAAGATCACTACACAAAGAGTTGCTTTCTTGTCATCAAGAGATGGCCTTAAATGAGTGATAATCTCATAAACCAGAATGTTGCATATTACAGCCAGCAAACCATTGGTGGTTCGCATAATCAAAGTGGAGCAAATGTTGGAAAATGATGAAAGGTTTTGCAGGAAATGCATCCCTGGAAACAAAGAAGCAACATAGGCAAGTGAAAGAAATTACCTGCAATAAATTGCATACATCAACTTNACGTCAATGGAATCAAATTTAGTTAAAAGATGATCACAAATCAATTTCCAACCGAAAAGTTATGCTCCGATATTTTAGTCTCATATTGAGACCTATTTTTGGCATAGAAAGTGATCGAATTGGAGAATGATGTCTGAATCGAAGTTGTAGCCAAATGATTTATCTTTCCAACGCATTTTGAATCGCCTCAATCGGATATCGAAACACAAAGTTATGATAAAAACACTGAAGGAAGGTGCAGCTGCCTGTTTAAAACAAAACATTCCGTTACATAGTCCGTTATATTGAGACATATTTTTGGCATAGAACATGATCGAATTGGANGTCCGTTATATTGAGACATATTTTTGGCATAGAAAGTGATCGAATTGGAGAATGATGTCTGAATCAAAGTTGTAGCCAGATGGGTTAGCTTTCCAACGCATTTTGAATCGCCTCAATCGAATATCAGAATACAAAGTTATGATAAAAATACTGAAAAAAGGTGCAGCTGCCTGTTTAAAACAAGAAATCTCGTTACATAATCCGTTAAAACAACAAATTCCGTTAGTTTTTCCGTTAAACCAACAAATTCCGTTAAATATGCACTTTTTATATATAGAAAGATAATATAACACCAACATCATCGCCACTGTTACCTCCACCACTTGTAACAAATTATATTACACTGTTGTTGGCACCACAACATGTAACACACCATGTTACACCATGACTACCAAATCTATGCCAACGCCATCACTACCAAATTTGCTATAATAGCATTAATATATGTTATATAAGCAATTATATTGAAAATTCACATAGTTTTAGAATTAACCTTAGTTGTTGTATAGACGAGTTTTCTTCTAAATTTATATTTTTGGAATTTGTCCCTGCAATGTATGCATACAATGTCTTGTATGAAAGCCAACAACGTACCAAATTAAACCCTGAGGTACTTCAAAATCACAACTTGTGTAAAATTGGGTAACAAACGTTATGTAAAAACATATTTAGTGCTTGTTTCATAGAAGCTTATGTCAAACTTCATTTTAAATACTTATTTTATTGGACCTACAACTTTTCACTACAAATTTTATGGAATTAACTAGCGGTGGCAAAAAAGCTCGATAGGCTCGGACGGCCCGGGCTCGGCTCGGCTCGGAAAAAGCTCAAGCCGAGCCCCACTTTGGGGAGTCGGCTCGAGCCCGGGCCGGCCCGTGGCTCGGGCGAGCCTCCCTTAAAAAAAATAATAATAAATAAAAATAAAATAAAATTTGAAGGCAGGCATTGTGCAAGCTGCAGGCAGCAGCTTGAAGGCGGCAGCAGCTTGAGGCTGTTGCAGCTTGCTGCTGCTGCAGGCAAGCTGCCTTTGCAGGATAGCTGCATGCAAAGGCAGCTAAAGAAAGAAGGAAAAAAAAAATCAAAAAATTCGAGCCGGCTCGGCCCGCTAAGGCTCGGGCCTAGCCTCATTTCTTTTGGCCGGGCCCGGCTCGGCTCGGCTCGGCTCGTTGCCACCGCTAGAATTACTCCAAATTCATCAAACTGCAATAAATCAGCCAAGACAAACCATAGTTTTCCCTCAATCCCAGAAGTAATTCAATCAAACCAATTTCCTCTAAATTTACCTAACCACAAGAAATTAACTTCCTACACAGACAATTAACTTGCTGCAAGAAACGTATAACTTGAAACCAACAACCCAAAAATTACAACATTAGAAAAGATGAGAAATTGGGAAGGAAAATTAGAAACCCAGTTATGAAACTAATTAATTTACAAAAATTAAAGCTGAATTCAGAGATATGTGGCGAGAATCAAACACGTTTCAAACCTAAGATATGGAATAGCAAGCAAATAACCAAAGATTATCACAAGCAAAGAATCAAAACCTTGATTTGACGATGGAAACCTTGATTGAAACAGCCCGTCAAGAAGCCTTCGATTTGGAAAGAAGAGCTCAAAACCTTGATTTGAAGATCCCGTAGAGAATCGTTCGATTGGGCAACCCGATCTGATTTCAATTTCGGGTTGTGGGATTGTGAGAGAGGAACGTCTTTCGTCACGGTAGAGGGGAGAGAGAGTTGAGAAATGCCGTTTCCGTGTTTTGCCACTTTCCCTTGTTTTGTTTTTAGTTTTTCCAAAACGACGTTTCAGCCGTTTTTCGTTTTCAGTGTTTTTTTTTACCATTTTCAAAAACTCATTTTCGAAAATAATAAAGATAACACATTTTCACTATTTTGAAAAATTAAAAACAGAAAACGACAAAGAGAAGAAGGCTTAACATTCTACTCAAATTCCAAAATTCAAGGCTCCACCACATGGCTAGATTACTTCCAGACCCGTCTACACACTCCTCACCCACCGAGGTGGAGCCCTCGCATGGCTAGATTACTTCCAGACACGTCTACACACTCCTCAGACACCGATCACCGCCGTTTCATTCAAATTCTTTAGCCCAAATCTGAAAAATTCCCTTTCTTTTTCTCCATATTCGAATAATTTTCTTTCAAAATTTTCATTTTTCCGGTTTCTTTAGTTTCTTTTTTTCTCGAAGAAAACTGTTTTCTTGATGTTATTATATTCGTATTCGACTGCAGTTATTTTACCATATTACCGTGTTTTTGATTGATTAACATAATGGGATGGTACAGAAGACCATTTCGATCCTCTTTTAATGCTTTTCGTAGCTACACCTCAAATATTACTGCACGCAGAAACCCCATTCAAGAATCGAGTTTAAGAAGTGGTTGCTACACTGATTCTTTGAAGCCCAGCTTTACTAAATCAAGAATTTCTGAATTTTCTCAACCAATTTTTAGGAATTGTGCTTTACAAAATGGTTTTAAATCAATCCAATGTAATAGCCCCTTTCTTCACGGAGCAAAGAGGTTTTACTATGTGGATAGGTACCAGGTTTATCACTTTAAGCCAAGAGGATTCAAAAGGTGGTTTCAGAATCCCAGAAACGTGATTATTGTGGTTTTGGTAGGCTCTGGGGTTGTTGTTACTATATACTTGGGGAATTTGGAGACTGTACCTTACACAAAAAGAACCCATTTTGTTCTTTTATCGAAAAATTTGGAAAAAGAGCTGGGAGAGACTCAATTTAAGCAGTTGAAACAAAGTTTTAAGGGGAAAATCCTGCCCCCACTTCACCCAGAGAGCATTAGGGTTCAAGCAATAGCGCATGACATAATTGAGGCTTTACAGAGAGGTTTGAGGAAAGAGAACGTGTGGAGTGATGTAAGGTACTCACCAGAGAGTGTTGGGTTGCCTCACGAGACTAGTGGGCACGAGACTTTGATGGGATTAGGTGACAAGATTACTGATGAGGAGAAGTGGTTAAAGTTAAAGGAGGAGAAATGGAACAAGGACGATGAAATTCTTGATGATCATTGGGTGCAGAAGAGTAGGAAGGAAGGTCAAAAGAAAGGGATGAAATCTGAGAGTGGGCATTTGGAGGGTTTGAAGTGGGAGGTTATTGTGGTTAATGAGCCTATAGTTAATGCCTTTTGTATGCCTGGTGGTAAGATCGTCGTTTTTACCGGTTTGCTTAATCATTTCAGATCAGATTATGAAATTGCAACCATTCTCTCGCATGAGGTATTGGATGGATTTATAGGTGATCATTTATGGTACTGTGTTATTGCCAATTGGAGTTGCATTTTTAATTTTGTTTCTTTACTTGATAGGTTGCTCATGCTGTGGCTAGGCACTCGGCTGAACAAATTTCAAAGAACCTATGGTTGGACATTTTACAGTTAATTCTGTATCAGTTTGTGATGCCTAATCTAGTCAACACGATGTCACATCTCTTCCTAAGGCTTCCTTTTTCTCGGAGGTATACTTCGTGTATTCTACTGTTTTGATATGGGCTTTAATCTAGGACCTGTTTGGGCTGGAATAAATCTGATTTTAATCTAAGCAAAGTCAAACAATTAATATTAACAGTCACACATCTTTTCAACCTCAAATTTCAAAAACTTTTATCACAGTCCACTAAAAATCTAATTTTAATCCCCACCAAACAGCCCCCTAATTTGAAGGCGAAATAAAATTTGTACATGTTCTCCTCAATGTGTTTTGTTTCATGTTCTATGTTTGGCTTATGCATCAAGTGTATGCTTGTTATGCCTGGAACTAGACACAATAATGAACAAGATTTTAATTTCTTTAATTATCCCGTGTTATCCAATCTACCATGTCAAACATTTGGGGTCAGCATTTGGCAAATGATGGTTAGAGGAGTATGTATGTATACTAGACATTGATGTGACATGTACGATTGTTTCACATTCTAGTTTCATGGATTTAGGAATATGTAAGTGACCCATATTTTCAAATTTGACATATATGCTCTGTGATGCAGAATCAAAGAAAGAAAAACAATAAGAAGAAGGGGAAGGGAAGAAACCGAGAAGAAAGAGAGGAAGAGAAAACGTGGCTACGGCCAATCTGAATTTTAATTAATCATCCAACTGAAATCAACTACAATGAAAAC